GGGGGTTTCCCCCCCCCCCCCCCCCGCACTTTTTTTTAAGTAGTTAAAATTGGCATCTGACCTTACCAGTATTTCTCCTCACCCTCTGCACATTCTTCTTCCCTTCTCCCTTATTTCCTCTTCTTTTGACCTCTCTGAAAAATACAGCAATACTCACTATCTTGTTAGCTCCTGCATTACCAAAGCTACTATAAAGAGGGTCATTGTGGGAATAGCCTATATCAAGTCACAAAATGGACAGTGGCCAATTACTGCACATGGCTTGCCATAAAGTTTGTTAATAAATAATGCTTAATTTTACCATCCAAGAAAAATAAAGCTCAAAATAAATCCCTTGTAAATGCTTATTTTCAGAGTATTCATAACCACATTTCCATGGCTCTGCTAACTCATATTAATGGTCATTAGCACTGGCTTAAAAAGTAGCTGAGCTTAACAGCATTTCAACTTTAAGGAATTTTAAGCTATTTTGTCACAGAAAGGTCTCCTTCGCAGCCAAGTCAGGAAGGCCTTAAGAAAATGGTTTTACTGGGGAAGGAATGAGATTACTACAGGCAGAGTTTGCCCAGCTTCTGGCGAGGGGAGCCAAGGGTAAATGCAGAGCACTCACCAGGATGGGACAAAAGAGAAGCTAAGACCTGGTCGGCCAGGAGGACGTTCCTGCAGTGGAGTGGACCATGTTTCAAAGCAATCTCTTCCTTACCCCACCTGTTGCCAGTTCCACAATGTAAGGGAGGTCAAGGGGAAGGGATTTCCCTTTAGAGAAGTGCAGAAAAGTCAATAAATTATTCTTCTCTCTTAGTAAAGGCAAATCAGAAAATGTGATCTTCACATTGAATATAATCATGGTTCTGGCTGCTCAAATAATGACCTACTAAAGAAAAGTCTTGAGCGGACTAACAGCATTCTCTGTTACACTGACCTGTCCAAAGGTTTTGATCTTGCTGAGAGGTACTGAATCCTGCTGACTCATTTTTGCAGGTGGCTTGTTAGATCCTTACAGGAGTAAACCTCTGAGGAGAAGGAAGTAGGCTGAACAGCGCTCAGCACAAACCCGGAGGAGGAACAGGAACATCTGGTTTTATAAATAAAAACAAATCCTGGAAAAAAAAGGGTAAACTGCAGCACCGGACAGTGTTTGTGGATTGTATTTGGAAGAGGCTTATATTTCCTGAGTACCTTAAGTCCTGCCAAAGCAACATCACTTTGCAGACAAAACATGGGAGCAAGGTCCAGAGCACATGGAGAGCCACGGCACCTGCCAGGCTGCTCAAGCCACATGCACAAGGGGTACAATTTTTCCTAACCCCTCTGTGCTCAGACCTCTGAAATAGGCATCTTCTCCTCACCTCACAGGTCTTAGGTGAAGGCAGCCAATGTTTGTGAGACTTGACAGAGAAACCCAGGAGGAAATTAATTGTTAATTCTCTCCTCCTAGCAGGGAGGGAAGGAAGTAGGATTTGTGCCCTTACACCAAACAATTTGAATAGAAGAAAGAGAAAATAACTGCTTATTTTATGACTGTGGCCGACTGAATGAAAAACTATCATGCATTTTAACATTGCCATAATCTATACTCACAAGAAATCCAGAAAAATGTGAGAAGGGCACCCTTTATTCCGGCAGTTCCCAACTTCTGACTGAGTGACTTTGCCACTCCCAAGCTCCTGTCTTATACACACAAAGGATGCTCCCATCTGCTACTAAATTAAAAGACAAATCATAAAGAAATGTTGCATTCTGTTCAAACTGCAAAGACAACGCAAAAAAACCCACCCAAATAAATGCTAGTACAAAACGACAATTTAATGACAGAATCTCTCAATTGCTGAGAAATAACTTCGGAGAGAGAGAGGACTGGACAATGACCAGCATTTTATTTACTCAGGTCATGAGACATGTCACTTGGGTGATCTGTTCTTGTCAGGCAGTCCTTAATTAGAAAATTCCTAGAGAGAGCTCCTGCTCCCACTAGGTGCTTATTAAAATCTAAAGACAAAAGGAGTTAGTAGAAAAGCCTGAGGAATGGACAGAGAACTCAGGTTACACTGGAAGGAAAGAGTCAGCTGCTGCTAGCATAGGGAGAGGCACTCAAGATGGGATGCTGGATTTTGAATGAAAAACTCTCAGTGCTGTTATTAGTGAGTATTTTTAGCATTAAAAAAATCTAATTGGATATATATGAATATTTTAAGCTTGTTTAAAAGACATTTTATGGTTTGCTTACAGTAATACTCCCAAGCTTAATGTAAAACTTGCTATAAAATATTCAGCAGCCTTTTTATAACTAGTCTTAAAAACAATTTAAAGTCTTACTGTTTTATTTTTAATTATTTTTAAGCCCGTGTACTTTAGTCCTCAGATAAAGGGAACAGGGGTTTGCAATTGTAATTGAAATTATATTTTGAATTCTTTTCAGAGACTTTGGTGAATTGAGTATGGGGGGCAGAGAAAGGAATTTCCTCAGCTCCTAACTCCCTCCATTTCTGGAATTCTTTAAATTTGGCTTTTATTGCCTTTTTAGAGGCCAGGCTAAGCCCTGTGTTTAAGATCAAGTTTACCATCACACAGTAAATGTCATCTATATCGTCTACCGGGGGTGTGGGAATAGGACTGTAATCCTGCATTTGCTAAAAGATAGTCTCATTCCAGCAGGCATTTGTGATTTCTATCATCTGTGATCAAGAACTGCATTGCACACTGATTTTGAAGCACCTCTCAGATACTTTTAAAATTATAACCATAACTAGTTTTATATGCATTAAAAAACTAGTGTCACTAACTTGTAGCCTGTCTGCTTTGTAGCTGGTGTGGCTGGGACTGAATTTCTATTTGTTTATTGATACCTTCCACTGGTATGAAGATGAAGATGCTTACATTTATACACGGATTATGCTGGGAGTAAGTACGAGTTTGATTGTTAAAGGGCTCCACAAGAAGAATATATGCATAGTCTGATTTTGTTTACATCCTTCATAATAATGTTTTTGATGCTTCAACAGTAATTTTCCCATATAAGAGTATTATGTTAATATAGTATTTTCTTTCTTTTGCTCTTCCTATACCAAGCTTGTAATTTAATTTCTTTATGCTGTTATATGTACAGTCAACCCTGGCTTGGGCAAGAGCTTCTGCAACGTGCCTTAATTTTAACTGCATGCTAATCCTGTTACCAGTCAGTAGAAACCTTACCTCATTCTTAAGAGGAGCAAGCATTGTAAGTATCTTTTTGCAAATAGCCATATTATCCTCCCTTTTTTATTTCCATAGTTTAGCAGTGTTATCCATATCAAACATTTTCCAAGGATTTTTAATTTTTGATAGAGAAATCTGTACACTATTGCCTAGTTATTACCATTTAAATTGTCAGTATTCGTGACTGAAGAGAAACAAATGGCTTGTTTAACACAGTGCTCTAAATGCAATGCTGATTTTGGCAGCCACTGCATAGCATGGTGTCATGAAGTGAAAACTGAGGAGCTACAAAAAAAGGATGTAATAATGCAACTTGGCCAAATGGAGAATATATGTATCCATCATGTATATCCTGTGTAGTTGCAAAGTGAAAATTGGAGAGAGAAAATGTACAGATAGATAAAAGTGTCATAAGGATAATAAGGAACATGTCTAAACCCTTCTGCCTGAGTGGCCACCATTCAGGTCTTCCTTTCTTGTAAACACGTGTTTTTGTAATGGAGTGGTCATCTGCTCAGAGGCATTTACATTAACCTCGGCATCACACATAGGAAGTACTTCAGGCTTTAGCTCTACTAGCTATAGCTTCAACTTGCAGTGAATTTTTACAGTCAGAGCAATTCCAATACCACATGTTTGGGTAAAAAATCACTGATCACTTCATGCCTCCAAGAACAACAGGAATTTAGAAATCGTGACATTAATTTATTTTACTGTAAGCTGGTTCTTATTTCAGTTCTGCCTTTTTTTTTTTCTTGAGAGTTAAGAGTTACATTTCAAGCAGTCTTTAGGCTTGGAAACAAAGCTGATAATTGTTTGAGTCTAGGAGATGAGCATTTAAGAAAAAAAAGCCTTGTTGGACTTCTGAATCAGTTTGTGAATTAACATAAAATATATGCAACCCCACTTAGATGCTGAGTAAGAACTCAGAGAACTGGAACTCTTCTCACAGATAATATCATCTTGCTCTTCTAGACAATATTCTCCTCTTGAGGAGCATGGTACAGAGCAACTTGACTGGCTCCAGCATGGTCAGCACAAGGCTGGATCCAGTGTCTCTCCGAGGAGGTGCTGTGTCTTGGCATTGCACCCCACAGTCCTCCAGATATTTGGAAGATTTATTAGCTGGGAAACAACATGGATAAATGCCAGGATCTTTGGCATGGCACTGTGCCAGGTCAAGCGAGCAATCCAGACACCACAACACCGTTCGGAGACTGAATTAGGTCCGCAAGGGCTGTCTAGGTTCCAGAGGAGTGTGTTAGTTTTGGCTGATTGCCGCCCGCCCCGGCCCCAGGCTGGCTCTGTGCAGAGGCACCCAGCTGGCCATGAGCACACCACCATCAAGCACTTCCAATAATGGGAAGACGGCTCAGTAACACATAAGCGTGCAGCCACCTGAGGTCTAGACAGCCTCACCCTCCTGGGGTGTGCATTTCATGAAAGCAGCAAAAATGTTTTCATTCCAAGCTGGCTTTGCCAGCAATTCGGCTGTGTTCATGCAGCTAAACCTAGGTTTGCAAAGCAGTGGTGGCCCAGCCTGGTGTCCTTATACCAGCAAATTAGTTAATCACCAGCCACAATAAACCACTCACAAATCACAGCTAAATGTAGCACAGTTTTACCAAACCTGTTTTTGAGCCCCTCTATAGGCTGAATAGCTTAAGACGTCCTATGCCGAAAGCAGTTACCTGAGCCCCAAAGTCAAGGTTAACCCCAAACTTCCACTGAATTCCTTCAACATTCCATTTTTAAATGTACTGAACTCCTCTCTTCTCCTCTCCAAAATGTGAGCTGTAAATAGTAATCGAAATGATGTAAAACAAGGTCTGCTTTTTCACCAAGTGCTGTGGAGGAGCACTGAGGAGACAGCTTGACAAAAACATCGCATTTCACAAGATGGTTGCCTACGGAATAGCTGTAAATGCAAGTAAGCTTTTTTTTTCCTTCTTCTTTGCCTTTGAAATGTTTTGAATTTCACAGTGATTCTGCCTAATGCTGTAATCCCCATCAGCTCTGATGTGCTATTTTAGTGCAATCATTTGGTGACTGAAGCTTTAAATAGGTGTAGGAGTTCCATCTGATTAACCATTTGTAACCATTTTTGCTTGAGAAAAGTTTGACTGTTAAGTCAATAACTTTCAACCTGGATAGTAATTACTAGTTGCCATTTAGTTAATGTGAGCAACTTGTGTGCTCTTAATATTTAGTGTAAATAACTTTAATTAAAACTCTGAGAGTGGCTGTTTGGGGAGGTGACATAGCATTACAGTCTGTTTTCCTAAGGAAATGGTGCTTGTGAGTCACACCGCTCATCTGTCCACCACTACATCTTCTTCAATAATTTTTTCGACCAGGTAATAAATTTAATCTGAATTTGAGACAAGCAGCTGTCTCAAAACCTTTAAATTCCTAAATATTTTTTTTAAAATAGGTGATGAGTACAGGGAACTAATGGCCCCCCTGAGGGAAAAAACTGCATCTTGAGCTCAAAAGTTATCATCTGTTCTGCAGATCCTAGTGACTTACTGAGGTATAGGTGTTCGTTCGCCTGGCTGGGAAGACGACATGGCATCTTCCTGTTCTCCAAGTCATTAAAGGACCTGGAGAATACTGAAGCTTATGGGTATTCAGAGGACATGAGGGCAACAGGAGATAGTGTGGGCAAGAGGAATGCACAAAGAAGAACAAAAGGCGGTATGAGGAAGGACATAAACACATAGAGATGGAGAGGTATCTGGGGCAGACAGTTCTCTTAGAAAACGTGAAGGAGGCACTGGAGTTAATTAGGGTTATTTGGAAGCATAAGTCATTGCAGGGTAACAGTTCTACCCCCAGGCTGTCTGGGTGGATCCTGATCCCAATACTTTTTTCAGTCTACATGAGGGAGCTGCTTTTGTGTCTATAGGCTGTTAATGTCCCCATGCAGTGAGACAAGAACATGAAGTCAGGATTGCCATCAGGAATCAATAGCTAAAATTTGTCCTTTGTATGTAGCGCTAAAGAATTCAGAGGAGAAGGCTGGGGGATGAGAATGTGCATCTTATAGTATATTATGGTGATTTACTTTACTGTCATGTCCATTCATTTATCAGAGTTCAGTTTCAGCATAAAGCAGATTCCTACAGAACGCAACATTGCTTCTTTAATTAACAAATCAACCCAGGAATGTAAATTAACCAACTTCTACTTGGTGTATAATTTGTCATGCTCCAAAAAGAAAGCAAAACTGCACAGTCAAATCTTTATGGTTTTGGTTTTTACATTAATATAAAGATGTTTGCTAGTGCATTAAGGTGGACAGTTTGGGAAGTGCAAGTCTATCAGAAAAGTGTTTACTTTATGGCTTCAGTAATTCCAAGGAAAAAGATACAGGAGCTGAAGTGAAATGACAAAAAGCACCATTATTTAAATCTGTCACTCTCTAGGGAGAAAATGAGCGTTTGTTGTTGGGTTGTTATTTGAGTTGTTTGGGTCTTTTTTTCCAGAATATAAAACGAACAAATAGTTGATGAGGTATCGGTATTTGAGGAAGAAAACAAAATACAGGGAAGTCTAATGAACAAAACATGACAACTTATGAACTCGTTTCCCTAACAGACAAGTGAGAAACAACTCTCATATTTGGGAAAACGCTACATCACTGTATAGTCAGACTTGGGTAAAGAATGGCCAGAAACTCAGCTGCCTGAAATTAAATTTCAAATTAATAAAAAAAATACAATCTACAGCACATAGTGTGACAGAAAAGCAACGTTTCAGAGGTACCCACAACTATATTGAGTCCCTTTTTATAAAATCTAACAGTGTTAAAATGATGTGTAAATAGATGCCATTTTCCTCTCAACTGACACATTATTTATCCAAGTACTACCTATATTGCCTTTTGTTACACAAAAGCATAGTCAACTCCTATTAGTCTATTGCAATTTAGTAATTCTTAGTTAAATGAATGTTCTCCCCTGTATGATCAATAGCCTAAATGTGGCAGCCAGAAGTTAAACCAATTTGCAGATCAGATCAGTAAGCTTAGCCTCACAATATAAAATTGTAGACTCCTTTATTATTAAAGTAACATGTATTCATCTCAGCTTGCCAGGTGGTGTTATTCCAGCATATTTATTTAATAGCGTGCTAAAAATAGTCAGTGCAACATTAGTATTGTCTGGCTTCTAACAGGCAGCCAGCTCAGCTGAGGTGCGCATGGCCTTGGAAAAAGTACATCGGTACCTTTAATTTTTCATCAGCTCTAATACAAATTCAAGAGCAGGCTTTAATTGGTCAGGTCATAAAGGGATATAATTAGAGACTAGTGGAAGAGGGAAGTTGGAGGAAAGAGAGAGAGTAAACAATGCTATCTATAATCAAGGGCATCATTGAAAATTCAGTAAAGGGAATTCTGCTTAGTTTGGCTTCCTGCATTCTGCATGCCTGTCTGTGATAAGAGCTGTCTGGGAGTTATTCACCCACTAATAAATCTTCCTTATAGACCTGTAACTCTGCTAGAATAAAATCATAGTTTCATGCACTCACAGTTTGATCAGTGCAAATCTTTCTATGCTTTCTAATGCAAAAGAGACTTTTCAGTTGAGAGGCAGTTGTCTGAAACCTAAAGATACCTACAAGAGATAGTAAATAACATTTTGTACAACTCCTCTCTCCTACTGTATTGTTTGTACCCTCACAAGAAAGTACATTCATACATTTTCTGAAGTGGGGAGTGTTGGGGGGGATATGTTGGGTTTTTTTACTTTGGCATACGTTGCATATCTTGAAAAACAGACTGCTTCTTGTGTTGTTTTGATGTTTGCAGAAAGGTTATATAGATACATTGTGCCAACAGTCTCTGAATTTTGATATGAATAAAGCTTAAGCAATTAAGGGAAAGTAGGGGAAGGACAGTGAGGTTCTTTGTAGTTAGGCTGTTTGGAATGGTGGTTCCTGCTCCTTAAAAATTCCAGCAGTGAGATTTTCTTTAAAAACATGCAAAATGCAGAGAGAAGTATAGTGATGCCAGGTGTGTTTGGCTTCTGACAAGCACTGAAAAATCTATAGCTAAAAATACTAGCAAACCTTTCCATTTTCAACCACATTTTGGTAGTGGTGGCTATGTGAAGGGCTTTGGTGATCTGAGTAACATTTTTGTGTAAGCAGTGAAGTTTTCAGGGAAGCAGATGCTTATCTTCAAAAGAGGTTTAGCTGATATCTCAGTGTTGTACTTCCAGAAATTACAGAAAATCAAATTTCCATTAAACTGCATATTTTTTTCAGTCAGATTGTTTAAATCCAGACTTAGTGCAAGTACTAGGAAGAAAACTACATTAAATTAAAGATTATAAGCTTCCAGCTAGGATAAAAAATGGTCCAAGTCATGTTCTTCTTTGATGTCCATAACCATTCTTAAAGAAAAAAAATCCAATGCAAGTATGTGTGTGGTCACTATTGGTGCAATTTTTACATAACCTGCACTTTTTTAGTCCACAGAGACAGCATGAAGCTGAATTAAGGGTTCTGTGTAACTCAAAAAGGCACAAAGCAGTGGGTGGCAAAAGAATCCAGGCTTGGTCAGGGACAGAATTCTACATGCCTAGGTTAGCTGCTTGCAAAGCTGTTCTCTTCTCTGTGGGCAGAAAGGCCAGGATTTGACCCTTTGATTTTATCATGATGGGTTAGTTAACCAAAACATTTAACTGCTAGCAGCAAGCTCCAATTTGATTATTATCCTGTACAGGCACGCAGAAAAAGAGAGAGTGAAATCTTGTCCTCAGATAAACACATGCAATTTCTGTTTAGTTCAATGAGAGTTGTGCATGCTTCACTGAAGGCACAATTGGCTGAATAAGACTAGCTAAATTGACCAGACTTTCAAGATAATTTAATTACATGTCTTTGTATTTAAGAATATGTACAGTAAACACCATGCTCTAATAGCAACCCTTTTCCTCCCTCCCTCCTTCCAATAAAACCTTTTATTTGATCTCAGAGGTGGACTAGATAGAACATCTCAGGGTCAAATACAAATTAATGTATGTTAAGTGCTTCAGAGGTTCCAGATGTTGTTAAAAACAACAGTCAAAATTGTTCAGTCTTCATGCACAGTTATAAAAAAGAACTTTGTTTAAAGGATTACATGATTTATTCCATACTTTATATTTGGTGATGCAGAATAAGGAAAAAATTGAACTGAAAATCCTGACATGTAGTACCTTAAACTTTGTCCTCATGGTTAACTTAGATAAGTGGTGCAGGGAGAAAAACCCCAACTGTTGTAAGGTCAAATTTCAGAAATCTGCATATTAATTTTGGAATTGCTTAGTAAATTCTATACACTGCAGATGCAAAGGACCTTCAGAAAATGCACTTTAGGGATGCAAAATATTTTAGCTAATGGCAATGCATCCAGCGCGAGACTTTTTAGTCTGCTACAACTATTATACATTAAATGAACCACACTGAAAATGGAATTAGAACTTTGCATTACTCTTACCATCCAGCTATAATTCACTTTTAGATTGCATCATTTTTTCCTAGCAGCACACAAAAAATCATCAGAAGTATTAATCTAATAACACTCTAGGCAATATTTAAGATCATGGGAGACTCAGGTAAACCAACATATTCAGTACATCATTAGTTTGAATGTTAATATTTTCCAGTGTATCATTATATTCTGTACATTAACAACTACCACAGAATAGCTTGCAGAAAAGACCTCTGCTGTTGATTCTGGGAGTCTTCTACACTTGTAATATGCTCTACCTGTTAGATGAAAGCTGGAGGGAATGTCATCCAAAAGGGAAGATGTGGTAAATCCCAAAGAAGAAGGTATGATGATGTTTCCATTGTCAGTAACACAGTAAGGCAGAACAATATGCAGGTGGACAAAATGGTGTCCTTTAATAGCCTGCAAAAAAATCTTACTAGGCTAAGTTGCAGAAAGCGGATCTCTTTTCCAGGGAAAAGTTGCAACATGATTACCCTTCAGTAAACCTTAGGCTTGAGACCTTTTCGGGAAGCTATGTCTACTCAAACCACAGTTTTTTTCTGTTCGAGATTGCAAATACTCTGTTAGCAAATGTGGACCTCTGGAAGAAACTACCACCTCATTTCGTTCTCAACACTCGACATATACCAGATAGCATTAGGTTTCCTGTCACTGCTGACATGACTGGAATTTGTACAAATCATGTACCGTCCTGCACTTCGAGGAAAGTGCGAGATTTTGTAGCCTTCTAAACAACAGAAATGTCATCATTTCACATGAAGATTTCACAATCTGCAGTATCACTTTTTAAAAAATCTATGTCTTTTGAAGGTGAAAGAGAGAAAGTGTGTTATGCGCTGAACACAGATTGGAACCACCACCTCTAGTCAATGTTGCTATTTTACGTGAGCAAGGATAGTCCAAAACCTGCAGTGTATATGCTGCAGGGAACCCTTGGTAAAACAGCGCTATAGATCACAACTGTATGAAAGTCACCTGGTCCCAAAGCTATGGTGACTATTACATCGTATCAGAGTTACAAAGAACATCCTGCAGGTATAGAGGACAAGAGGCCTAAGTACCATTACTGATTGCACCAGTAATTACTAGCAGATGCCAAGATATAACTGCTCAGTAGATGTCCACTCAAGAGATTCACTGTCAGGGCTTTCCGTCCTTTGAAAGTTTTCTCTCCTCTTTCCATTAGGCTGGTACTGGACTACATGCAGCATGTAACTCTACAATCTACCGCAGACAGAGGTCTGTTACCCCGCACTCCCGTCCTCCAAGTGAGCTCTTTCAGATGTCAGAGAAATCAGGTCCTCATCAAGCAATGACTTGGTTCCCTTCCAGCTGGATCTGATAACATCCTTACCAGGCCAAAACATCTGTTCTGAAAGGAGCCCCTTGTAGGAACAGCTCCCCGCCGCCCCCTTCCCACTCAGCACTTAAAAGTGCTGTTACACTTAAATACATAAACAGTGTTTATATACTGCTTATACATCAGTTGTACGCTGGGGAACAGATTGCCACAGCCCCCACACAGCTGCCACCTAAACCCTGCAGCTCAAAGCCTCTCAGGCTTTTGGGTTTTGACAGTCTGAATCCACACATCTCACACGCCGCTTACGGTCTTGTGCAACCTTCATTCCAGCGTCCTGGCGCTGCCGAGGTGCTGGGAGCGCCCTCACACGTGCAGGCTCCGGGCAGCGTCTCCTGCCTGATGCTGGCCAGGTTGTTTCACGTGCAGCACCTAATCCATAACAATGTACGCGGGACATGCCGGGTCACTGAGTCCAATACCCTCTAATGCTCACGGTCACGTCATATACGTTATTTCATAAAATGACCAACCTTCAGCTGAAAGCTGCTTGGATTGCTTGATCCCATTATCCTGTTTATTGAAAGGTTATTTTAGAGTCTCATTCCTTTGATGGCTTGAATCTGTCTTCTAATTTCCAGGCTCATTTTATCTCTGTGCAGTTCATACCCATTTGGATTCAGTCTCCATTCTGCTGAAGCTGTTCCAGCTTGTATAAATAATTTATTATTCACTGGGCCAAAGATTCAGAAAAAATGGGAGCTTGATTTTGCAGTTTGGGTGCTCAGGATATTCACTTGGGATGCCTGTGTCAAAAAATATTTGATTATTTTTATTAAGGGCTTCATCAGGAGACAGCTCACAAGAGAATAACCAGTCAGCCCCGTGACTAGGACATGTGATTTGGTTTAAAGCCCTACTTTAAATTTACTGTAACAAGGATTTTAAAATAGGTCTTTTATCTCCCAGTGAGTATGTAAGCATGGGGCAATGAGGTGAAGCAGGTGTTAGGGAGTGGCAGGAGGGAGTCCCTAAGCTAATATTATGTTTTGAATGAAGTGCAACCTGACAGTCAACCAACCACAGCACATCTACTGCTCTAGAAGGATCACCTCAGGAGAACAGAGTGAAAATTATCTCTCTCCAGCCTGTACACATGGGCTAACCTACTGTTGGGGGGAAGACTGCAATCTTCTGCCTTTTTGCACTGACTGTTTTAAGCACTTCCATGGCCAGCATCCTACCTTAACTCCTATTCCCATGCCCACAGCTCTCCCCAGGTGCTGCAAAGGAGCTGGACTCCAGCATGCAGAGTGAGGGAACTCACTAAGTGGATAGGCACCTAAAAGACTTAGCATACCAAAGTCCTTATGCTTTTAATCCTGTGTTTCATCTATGATTACACAGTAACTAGCACAATAAGACATTACTTTTGTGCGAATAGTTACAATTTTAAAAAGAAAAAAAAAGAAAAAAGAGGAAAGAAGGAAGAAGAGAGAATAAAGAAGAGAGAAAAGAGAAGAGAAAAAAGCAAAAAACATGAAAAGAGAAAAAGGAAAAAAGAAAAAAGAAAAAGAAAAAGGAAAAAAGAATCTTTTGAGAGAATATTATTGAGGGAAGCAGATCATATTTGGTTTACTACAAATACTGCCTTTTAGAATGGTTTTTTAAATAGAACAGAACAGATAAACACTGAAGGAGAGATGATAACAGAAAGCTAATTATAAAAGCTAGAAATAGCATATCCTAATAGCTCTACTGTAAACATATAATTGTTTTTCACTGTCATTTTTTCATCCTTTGGCGTTTAATATTTTGCGTTAATTACGACTTTCCTGTAATGGATTTGAGAATCTCTCATATTGAAAACTGAAACTGCACCTAACATGATTACAACTTTATCTATGTTAGCCAATAATCAAACAAAAAGTCCTTTGTTTTTCCTTCTTTTGAAATTAACATCCTTCCACTCATGAACAGAATTACAGGGAAGTTCTTACTTTACTCTAAGGTGCTTTTCTAAACTGACCATTTCATATACCTTTTGGGAAACTGCCAGAAGTAGGGGTGATATATGATGCTCAGGGCAAATCAGATCTAACACTGTGATCCAGACTTCTCCCTTAAAATCATCATTCCTGTGGCTTCCTCAGGCTTCACCTGCATACTTGTTAATAAGGGCCAGATTCTGGATTCATCTCTTAAATATCCCTGGTGCAAGTTGCAAACTGGTCTGTGCCTAAAACAGACCAGTTAGTGTCCTGCATAGCAATATTAGACCATGGCACATCCTAGTATATTAATAAAAAAATAGGGATTTTAATCAATTTCCCTCATTTTGAACAATTAAAATCAGAGGCAAACACCTTTATATCATCTCTCAAGAGGTCCTCCTTTGATGACACTGAAGACTGCAGGGCACTTGACTGTAAACATGGGAGGTGACCCTGGAGCTGTTCTTCTCCTCTCCAATGTGAAGGAGTTGCTTCATATTAGACACATATTTGATAAAATTTTCCTCTAATTGTCAGCTTAACCCATGCAAAGCTCTCAGTTTATGCCCCAGCTTTTCAAATAGTTTGTAGTGTGCTTAATGAAGGTCCTTCTGGCACTGTGGACACATACAAGTGTGCCTGTAATTTCACACCACTCTTTCTCTCATGCAGCCATCCATATTGTTGCCCACTTGATCAACATCGAGCGGTATCATACCAGCCAGTCAAAGGAAGCTGGGGAGTTACGGAATAAACTTTCTGGCCTTGGCAAGAGCCCAAATGAAAGCTACTTGAACCCAATCAGGACCTATGAAACGGTAAGCTGTCACTTTTTGGTTTTCCTCATCTAAAAAGTTTTCCTCTGTGGATTCCATTGTCGGTAAAACTGTATTTCAAAGCCTTTTAACCAGAGCGAGAAGGTGGTGCCAAAGGTTAACCTCAATTTCAGCTGAAAACACTTACTCAGAGCTGCAATTTTCAGGTTACTAAGCTCAAAGAAATGCCTGCAGTATTTTAATTAGTTTGTCAGGAGACAGCCTGGGGGGGGCAGGATGAGGATCATTGTGAATAGTAGACAATGAAATGAACCTGCAAAGAATTTAAAAAAACTAAACTAAACTATCAGTACATGGAACAAACACAACTTCTTTCCAGAAAGAAAACATCAATAACCCTTAACAGTATTTCTTTCACAGCTGCTATTTGTCTCTCCCCGTGGTTGTGCAGTATCTTCCCAATCTGGGGGTTGATTCTGCCTTGTTACATGTCGAATGTGGCTGCCCAGGGAAGAGCACGTGCAAAACCACGTGGAGGTTTGCTGCATATAGGAAGCAGTGCACGGGGAAGCTAGTGCCACTGTGTGATCTTCAGAGCCAAGCTGGATTATGGGCACCTCAGCCCTGCAAATAAATGGTTCTGCTTGCTTTGGGGAAAAAAGTGACTGTGCCTCCTGTCCACTTCCTTGGCTATCTCACAACAGCATTATAAGCTCTTCCTTATAATACTCATAACATAAAGAGACCCTTTCTGCAAGGTGGGCATGTAAAACATGCAAAAGTTAATCAGCTTTTTTCCCTATTCCATTATGCTATACATCACATTTATGTTATATATTCGCTTGTGTATAGTGTTTTATACTGTTACATACTCCAGGGTTGAAATGGCCCTGGTGAGACTCCCATAGATACTGTTTCTGCTCTTTAGAAAATTCCCACATAGCCAGCATGCAATAAAGTCTGCTTGAACACCAGGGAGTGGGGCTCTTTCGATCAGTGGTGTGCTCCACTGAAATAAGAAACAAAGTGAGACAATGGCTGGACAACAGTCAGTAGAATTTGATAATACTTTTCAGTTACAAGGCATTTTGTCCTGTTTTTTCTCAGTTCCTTTCCAGCTTAGTGTGATTTTTGCATCTTTCAAAACAAACAAGTAAACAATTCTCAAGTTTGAGGAAAAACAACCAAATTAATGGTCTCAATGGTTTGAATAAAAAAGTCTTCATGTCAGTGTTGACAACGTAGTCAGGTTTATCAGAATAGGACAGCGAGCCAAGGACTCGGCTGCACAGTCTTTTGTACCCCCAGTGCCCACTCTCACCACATGCACATGAAGTGTTCCCCAGGAACCAAAGAAAGCTCACAGCTCTGCACAGGAACCTACCATCTTTCAGTAGGCATGTTTTTTCTCCACTAAGTCTTCCCATGGTGATATAATTGTGAGGTAGGCCTCTAATTAGCATTAAAATCCTAAATACCCTTGAGGAGGAAGACTAGCATTTTTTTGAGATCCTTTCCCAGATTTCTTACAGTAATATGCCCCACAATTACCTTCTAATTTGTAGCCTAGATTTTACTCTAGCCTCTAATATTTGTATTTCTTTTATCACCCACTTGTGTCTCAGTAGCTACACTCAGAATTAATAAATTATGAAGGAAAACAAATAAAAGATTGCTTCTAACTTCAGAGAAGAAAGTTCTGAGAGTGACAATTCAGGCTTTCTTTTCAGTTTCGTCCTACCCCTGTAGTAGCAATGTACTAAGTGTCTTTGACATTTTTCCTTGTTTCATCTCAACATTCAAACTAGCCGCTGTAGTGGAAATGTTCAAAATATCACCTAGATCAATCCTGTTAATATGTAATAGGATCTGAACACACTCTTCACAGGCACCAATTTGAAAATGTACTGTGTGCTGTCAAGTGTGAACATTTGAAAGAATGATTTTACTGTAAAAAGTGACTGTAAAAATGGCATTGTGGAATTTTATCACCTCTAGGATTTCCATATCAAATGAGTACAATATAGGGTTTTTTTCTCCTAGTGTATTAAGCTGTAGAACCAACTCAGGATCCAGAAGGCATGCTGAGATCCTTCATTCCTGTGCATCAGCACCAGGAAAACAGATATATATGCTTTGCAGGCCAAATGAGAACTTTATTTACACTCTGCTGGCATATTTAGCTTGAGCCTCATCTTGCGTGTGAGATTTTTACTGCTGTTCTTCATGATTTGCACTTTACAACTGACATCAGCATCTGACTGTTGTGTTCAAAATAAATCTTCATTCTCACTTCAGTTTATTTTGGTGGGTTTAGACAGATGTAACAGACCTGTGCTGATGTCTGTGAGTCATGAACAAGAAAGAACATGTTCTAGCCCAGCATATTAATGTTTCATCACTGACGAGCATAAAAATGTAAATATAAATATGTCTTTTAAAAAATAATCCCAAGTATTTTCCAATGTACCTCCAGCTAAATGTAAGGAACAGGTAAATGAGATACGCTGTTTAGGTAAATGAGAACATGCCATTTTTATACACCATTTCAGGGCTGCTAAAAACCCACAAACTTTGAAGTAAAATAAGTACAAAAGAGCCCCACACCATTATGGTTGCAGGTGTCTTAGCACCTCACTTCATCACCCTCAAATGAATAAGCTGGTTTCTAGTGCTGTTTTGCTTATTACATCTCTAGGTTTAATCATCTCATTTCTCTAATCATTTTCCTTTTTTTCTGAGACACTTTTTCATAAGCAAAATAGATAAAAGTACTAATGAGACTGTCTAATTTCCTCCTTTCAATTCCTGAAATAAGTAAGTGGCAGCAAGCATTTACACATCTGTCTGGGATAAGCCTGAGTGGAAATAGAGCAGAGGAATGTTTTTCCATGCTCTTCTGTGGTAAAATGGAGGTTTGCCTTGCATCCATGTCTTGTTCTGGTTTTGTTCCTATGCTGAAAATATTTCTTAGATTTTGGCTTTGTATGTAATAGCAGCAACAGTAACAATAGTAACAGTAACAGAAGTAGTAATAAAAATAACAATTATAACAACAATAACTACTAATACTAATAATGTATTCTTATTCTAGAACACAACAGGAGAGGTACTAACCACCATAGCTGGAATAACTGGAGTTGTGATAACTGTGGCTTTAATTCTGATCATGACTTCATCCACCGAGCTCATCAGAAGGTCATGCTACGAGGTGTTCTGGTATACCCATCACCTCTTCGTGGTTTTCTTCATTGGTTTAATAATCCATGGTATGGGGTAAGTGTCTGCATAAACTACATGGGGTATATGTACACAGTTTGAGATGAAACATGATTCCAATCTGTAATCCTTTGCTTTTCTATTAACAAACTGCTGGGATCTTTGCTTGGAGACAGATTGGAAAATGAAAGTATTTTGGAATTAAAACACACCACTTTTCTGTGGACTAAAAGTGTGGTTTAGTTCTTTTAACCACTCTTCTACCATCTGACAAACTGCACCTTATCAATGCATCAATCTGAATGAATTTTCATCCCTGGGAACTTGGGGCATTACAGATTAGGAATCAAACCTTTGTGGGTTCAAATTAATAGGGGATAGACCTTCTGCTCATAGGTCTTGTTAGGCATTTTGTGAGAAAGCTTGTACAAGCTTGACAAGCTTTCAGCATGTCAGCTACCCTATGGTGGATGTCCCTGTGCCCATTCTCCTCTGCATCCATAAATGTAAAGTGGTTTTGATGTTCTTTGTCTGTGGGGAAAAGAACCCCAAATTTCCTCACCATAGAAAAAAACTGCGCAGTAGCAGTAGGCACTATATTACAAACCAGGCTTAAATGACTGCAGTAACAAACAACTCAAGTTTATGACTAGTCCAGTCAGGCGGCTTTTATGGAGAGGGATGACTGCCAGGTCACTGACTGTCTCCTTGATCCTCAGCACAAGAGGAAGGTCCATCCTCTTGGTACAGGGCTCTGGTTCTTACACCAAAGGACAGCAGGTTCAGGGGAGCCTCCATGAGAAGCTCAGGGACTGATAAATCCCCTGTCGATGCAGAGTTAGAGTAAGAAGGTGCCTAGTGCTGAAACATTTCCATCTTCCATTTCCAGCTTCATTGACATCTTCTGCTTCTTCTCCCTTTTGTGCTTTCCCCCCATTTCCTTTTCTCATTTCTTTGTGATACTATTAATGTGAATCTACAGTGGTGCATCTACATTGACATTTTAATTCAGGTAGGGAGTGCAGTTTTGAGGCAAATCTCACGGTCCTCCTCACCTCCTAGGTTTAACTTATACCATGGCGCAATCCCTGGACTGCATAACACAGAGTGGTTTGGGATGAAACTACACTGACAGGAACGCATCTCTGTGTGCCAAGCGCTAACAAGTGATCCATTCACAGGACCAAAACAGACCTAGTCCTAAGCCTTAGGTAGCCCTCAAAGGTGTTCATTGAAAGGCCCTCAACAAAGACGGCTTAGCTCCATAGATCTTTTCCTGCTGACTGTCTAGCGTACACATGGCCTCAAGCTGTAGGTAAGCTTTTCTAGACCTAAGGACAGAGTCACTTGGTGTTATCATAATACACTTTTTATGTCTGTTTCGTAAAACATTCAGATGATATTGGCCACCACTAAAGTATGTATAGACCACTACTCTTTGACACAGAGGAACTTCCCAGCCCACAGCAGTGTGTGTGTGCCTGTTCTCTGGAGGTATGTGGCGTCACCATGGGGCAGGGAGCAGGCCAGTACAATGTTTTCTGGCATGTTACTTTTCTCACCTCTTTCCTTGTGATTTGAGAGCTGCCACATTCAGTCTGGCTTTGTGTGTTCCTGAAATTGGCCCAATTAATTAGTCCCAAGTTTCAGAGGCACAGCTGCAAACAAATGCTATACACTGTATCCTGGCCTGATTAAAATGGCCCCCTCCCCTCTCACTGGCAAACCTTTTAGAATGCAATTTCAAACAACTATAATGAACCCTTTAAACCTTCGGCTTTGTAACATCCCTCTGCCTAGCCAGCTGATCGACACTCCTCAGCATGAGACTTCCCCAAAAAGGGGACACTTATTTAACAGCCCTGTTGATAGCATTCAGTGAGCATGCTGCTTGCTCCAGGCTCGGAGTGTGCTGCAACAGAGCAGCTCCCTGCTGCCCCAGCACATCCCTACCACTACCCCATTTATGAAAAGGAGTCAAAACCCAAGCTTTCATCCAATTCCCACCTCTTCCTCCTTCCCAGATGACTGAACAAAACTCACTCAAGCCTACCTCTTTTTCTGTCTTTCTGTCTGAACTGGTGGCACCCGATGACATTGCCACATAAAAGAAGGCAGCACTTCTTATCTCCTTGTCTCTTGTTAGACTAGTGGGCAGGACAGGCTAACATTGTAGAGCCAAAGTATGGAAGAGAAAATTCAGAGAAACAATATGAAACAGGGTTTCCCCATAAAAGTCTTCCTTCTCTACCAGAAATCCACACCAGCTGAAACCCATTTAAACTGAACAGTCAGGATTGATATGTTTGGGAAAATTCACATCATTAACATTCTCAGAAGTAAAGAAGCTAGACTTTAATATGTTTAGAGAGTATACATCTAATTATGGTCCTCCAACTTTATCTGCAGCTTTTAAAAATGCATTCAGAAAGCAGCAAAGGAAAGAGAAAGTCTGTCACTATTAAATTTTATTATTTTTCTAAAGAATAGCAGATGCTCTTATACAGAGGAGGTCAAAGTGCCTGCTCCAAAGAACTTGGAAATCATTCTAATTTTGCCACAAACAGCAAAATGTAAATTTTCTGTGCAAGGACTCTCTACACTTCAGCTGCATTGATGTATACCAATACTATAACACACTTCTTGCATTTGGTCAAAAAGTCATGGCAAAGCTAACGAAAGGTAATCTGAACAAGAGAGCAGAACAGGGTTGAAACGGCCAGTTCTTGAACTTTCAGTTATCTCCTGATCTGCATTCGATTACTAGGGCAAAACCTACAGACGCACAGAAACCTTGCAAAGAGGCATATCACTGATGAACATTTTTGTTTTAAGTCAGCTTGTCCGAGGTCAGACATCTCAGAGTCTGCTGCTTCACAATGTCACTTACTGTAAAGATCACTACTGGGAATGGGAGAACGCCACTCAGTGCCCTTTGCCGCAGTTTTCTGGCAACAAACCTGTGGTAAGAGTGATGTTTGTCTTCTGTTTTTAACTTCATGTTCTTCCTTGGGAGGCCAAACGTCTTGGGGAGCAGAGGGCTGGAGTGTATGCTAGTGACTGGCGCTTAGTGTCATGTTTAGAGAGTAGTTTCACATTTCCGTTCCATGACCTCTCCCTGTGCTTTAAGATAGTGATCCTGACCTCCTCTGTCAGTATAGACAGGTACAGATGAAGAGTGATGTATAAAATTTTGGTGTCATTAATAATAATTTTTATTTCTGGAAGATCCTTTAGTTAGGCAACGCTCCCTTTGAAGGGTTTGGATTTCAGAATTGTGCTCTATTTAAATCTGTTGTGTACATTTATTTTGAATTATTCAGTATCACCAATATCCTTGATGTGTTCATTGGACAAACGTAGCCTCCAAGTGAAAACCTTATGAGGGTAGACATACAGAAAATACAATGGAACAGTAAAGCTAGTGATGCAAATTAGTATTATTATTTTAACTAATAGTACTTTAATATGGATAGTCTAAATACCAAGGGAGAATAAGTTGGAGATAAAATTATGTCCTTGCTTCGGGGCACACGCTTCATATTGTCCAGCCTTGATGTCTTAAGTCAGGTAATAAGGAGAGAATTTGAAACAATGAATTATGAAAGGGAAAGGCGAAAGGCAGGAAAAATGTCCCACGGAAGGGTGGTTTTGCTGCAACAAGATTGCAAATCCACAGGGGGTAATTAAGTAGCAGACTTGTACAGTATGTCAGATGTCTAGCATCCAAACAAAATCATTTAACATTTACAGCTCGAGATTTAGATTGCTCATATGCAAGTTTTTGTTGTTTCTTCCAAAAAGAGAAAATATACCAAAGGAAATCCTAAAGCAAAGGAGAAAAATTAGCATTCAGTGTCTTGTAGCTTTTTTAATGGCTGACATAGATTTTTTCTTAAACTAAACTATTGTTAGCCATTATCCAACCCGCATATTAATGAGAAAATGAATGCCTCTCTAAAAATTTCAGCTACAACATCGCCATAAAAATCAATACATGGCTACGCACCATGAATATAGACACAAGCTTGCTTCCAACAGCATGTCTTGACATTCATTATCATAAAGCTAACTGGAGAGAACTTCCACTTCTCCGTGTTAAACCTATTTTGCCACACTTTCCTGCATACCCAAGGCCATACTAGCAAAGTCCCATTACTTTAAATGAATTGTGATTATACCGTATGGCACATAGATCATCTGTAAGAACAGTGCTTTGCTGGATGGGTAGTGTGCTATGGTGTGATACCTGCTAGACACCGCAGGTAGATAGCACAAATTCATTCAGAGGCTAAAAAGCCATGACGAGGCTTGCGCGGCGCCGGCAGGGGCAGGGGCAGGTGGGACTGAGCAGGGAGGGCACAGCCTTGTGCACAGCTGGGATTGCGTGAGGTGACACCAGAGTGCACGCCCCACCGGCCACGGCTCCCGGGGGAGGCTTCCATGGCAGAGCCCCTCGCTCAGTCATGCCGCATCTGCTCCCCTCCTCCATATTTCAGCAGGTAGGAGCCCGATCTGGCTCGCACTGAGGACAATGAAGCACTCGTGTTGTACCCAGGGCGTCTGGACTTTTATCCTCGCAGCCCCTCCTGAGCCATCGCTGCCCCATCTCAGTTCATTCTCATTACGGGAGGAAACACCACTTGGGCAAGAATACCAATGCCCTGATTAGCCGGTCAGGAGCCGTATTGCCTAGCAGCCCATCCCTCCTGGTGGATGCCCTGTTGTCCCAAACCAGCCAAAAGATATTTTGGACTGAATGCTCCATTGCACTGGAGCGATGGCACCTTTGAAATCTCAGCTGAGCTCTCGCAGAGGGTAGCCTGCAACCTTAACATTCTTGTCACATGCTTTTATTTACAGGTAGCACAAATGGAAGGGAGGAAAAACAGGTCTCATCATTATTGTGGCTTGATATATGCAAATATATTCAAGACGTGAGATTACCCACTGTGCAGAGACACCTGTAGTATTTAGGGACAACGGATGTGTTGAGTTTCTGCTTTAACTGAGAATCTTCTGGCTTAGGCTGGTTTCTTCCCATTATTAAATCATGCATTTTTTTTAATTTAATTTTCAAGACTTAACCTTGGGAAATTGCCACTCCATCCTCTTAGCACTTTCTAAGGAAGCCATGTAATTTTATGGCTTGCTTCTCATAAAAGATACTTTATAACCCCTGTTACCCAGCTTGAGGAGCAAAGTCAATGTTTCAGCAAGTAAAGTTACTCTTTGGAGATTTTAAAAGCTACACGATTGTGGAGTCTTCAGTTTGCTAGAATGAGCTGTGTAATTAACAAAACTGGAAATAAAACAGTATCTCTTCTAGAAAAAAAAAAGATTTTTTTTAAATCATGAAGATTCAATTACATCTAATTATCTTAGCTATCAGTGCAACTCAGTGAAATCATCAGCTAGTATACTTGAATAGCCAAATATCTTTGATTGTTACAGTGATCAGTACATACGATTAGCAAGTACAAGCACAGCAATCATCTGCAGTACTTAAAGTATGACCAGCTTAGTATCCTAGATCAAAAAAACACATTTATTGATACAGAGCCAACTAATGGATTAAATGAAAACATATCCCATTCCTCTAATTGAATATTTGGGACTTAATGTTTTCTCATGCAGCATCAGAAAACTCACAGCTGACAATAAAAGCCATTCCTCTCTGACTATTCTGAAATATTTTAGACATTGAAGAGCAAAAAAATAGTAAGGCTATGGATAATATTGTATAGATGTATGCATCTATACATTTTCAGGTCCAATGACAACTATATGTAACACCTAAATAGATTAATCCTTTTGCCTTTTAGTAGGAAAAGATTTTAAAGGACTCTTCTTGGCCAGAATACAGATAGATATTAGCGTCGCTTTTGGAGTGCATCTGTGAAGGAGTCCCATATGTCTGTTCCACAAGAAAGCCAGAACTGCTGCAGTAGCAACAGAAATACTCTCTTGAGAAAGGCGAACCAAAAATCACAGAAGAGATATCAAATAATTTCATTTTAGGCTACCTGCTGATTTAAACCTGAAATACAAAATATTTTTTCAGACATTCAAATAAATGTTGTTTTTTAATATGCAACTTTCTACAGGCTTGGAAGTGGGTCTTAAGTCCTATGGTGTTGTACATCTGTGAAAGAATTGTTAGATTCTGGAGATTTCAACAGGAGGTGGTCATTACTAAGGTATGTAACATAGCTTGCATGTCTGCGTAAAAGAAACATTATGTCAATGACTTTTTTTATCTTTTATAGGTAAATTCTCTATATTATGACCTCATTTTTCACTCCTAGCTTCAGCAGTTCTTCCATCATTACCATGGTTTCAGCCAAGTATTGATTTTAGGTTTTGCATTTATTCCAATAGCAAGTCCATAAGAATATTCCATACAGGACCAAACTTGATTAATGAAGTACCAGACTTTACACCACCATAACACAAACATCTGCACAGAGGGTCTCTCTTTTTAATGAACTGAAACCATGTTCCACTGCAGTAAATGCCCTCGACTTCAGTAGGACACGGTTTTTACTTTCAAATCTGGAGGCTTCCAAGGAGATTAAGGGTTATATTATCAGTTAGCATAAATAGTCGAAGCTTCATTAATACTACTGTAACAATTTATCCCAGTTGTAAATATCTCTGTGCGCTAAGGGCCTATTTAAGTCACAGCAGAATGGATGGGGAACGGCGCTATTGAAGCAGCCAAGTCCACACGTATCAAGCTGGCAATCAGAAACAGGCTTATCCTGTGTGAGAGGAAAAGCATGTCGGATAAGTCTTGCTGCTGATTTCACAGAGTGGCTGTGATCTGAGAATCTCAGTATACTATGTGTGACATATAAAATTGTCTGCTTAACTGAGATTACCTCTTAAGAAAAGTATATTATAGAATTCAGCTCACTGGGCTCTTTTCTTCTTGCCAAACCAACAATAATCCCATGCATGTTAATTGTGTCACATGAGAGTAAAACTGGGAAATTATTCCAGACTATTAAGGAATACTTTTTCATAGGCTCTATTAAGATAGAAAGTTGACAAATTGTTGAACTGTTACAGCCTTTCCTCTGTCTTTTACATTCACAAAGCAAACTGCTCCACGATACACACTCTACGTGCTCTCAAGCTATTGGGCAGCAACAGCACTGCAAAATCTACAGGACGTTTAAAAATTACTGTGCATCCCAATTTGCATTAACTTGTGGTTGAACTCAAGCAGAAATGGTTGCAAAGTCACCTGTAACCTAATGGAAACAGTTACTCTTCTGAAGGAAAATAAAACAGGTCCTCTTATTATTGTTCAGGTGGTGACACATTCCTCTGGAGTCCTTGAGCTTCACATGAAGAAACACGGCTTTAAAATGGGACCTGGTCAATATATCTTTCTACAGTGCCCATCTGTCTCACAGCTGGAGTGGCACCCTTTCACCCTTACCTCAGCTCCCGAGGAGGACTTCTTCAGTGTTCACATACGGGTCGCCGGGGATTGGACTGCAGCCCTCTTCAAGGCCTTCGGAGCAGAGGAAAAAGTTTTCAAGGAATTGTGGATGTTACCAAGGTTTGAATAACAAACAATACATTTTAAAATGTTAATTCTACATTTTAAAATAAATGTTAACATTTTAACTGTAATTAATTTTGTGTGTGTTCTTTATGATACAGTATTAGATCATAGTTCTGGATCCATAAATATGCCATTATGCTAAAAAAACCCCACAAATACACACAGTCATGAATATAGGCCAACAGCTACCAAGAAGATGTGATGACTAATCCAAGATTTAAAGTCCATATCAATATCTACATCTCTGTTGCTATCATTTAAATCTCTAACATCTATATCTACACCTAAAGATACCCATTTTGACAGATAGGTGCTTAAGAACTGAATTAAAACAACACTGGAAGCTGTCTGCTAGCTTTGTGCCTGTATGCTTATGCTCTGATGGCACCCATCACCTGCCATCCAAAATTCCAGCTTTTCCCTTTCAGTTACTTAGATATTTTGTGGCCCCAGAAACTTCCGCCTGAACCTTACTTCTTTCCAGCAGTCTCCCTCAACTCTGTCTCTGGTTTCCAAACCCTGCTCCACTTTATAAAGGTTATTGGCGTTCAAATTCTGTATCTGTGGCATCTTAATCCAAGCAAAAGCTTCATGCTGTGTTGTTGCAAGTCAGCAACCTAGTCCGCTGAAGTTAATGGAGCCATTCTGACTTACACTAGCTAAGCACCTGGCTCTATATGTAATGGATTCAAACCATGTAGCTCCTCGCAGGTGTAGTGGAGATTTCCAGCACAGGATCATTTCAATTCTGGTGGAGTGTGTAGGGCCTGGGACTGAAAGGACTGTTTTCCCCCTGGAAAACTGCTTTTGATGAGGGACTTCTAGTAAAACTGAACAGCAAAAAGCACTTGTTTAACTACATTTATATAATTTAATGGGACTTGGATGATAAAGAACATTCCCTTAAAAAGCTTATAGACACCCCTGAGCTACAGAGGTGTACTAGAAGGTGGGGACAGAGAAGAAAGTCTGGTCCAGTCCCTGCATTTTATCAGTTAATAAGAATTAGAAATGAAAGCCGTGCCTTTGTTAAAGGCAACTGGAATGAGAAGTATGCCGTTTCAGCAGAACTGGAGCAAAAATGGTCCAAAGTGATTGACAGCCAGTGTAAAGAATGAGAAAGAGAAAAATGTTATCAAATGTTGCTGGCCACAATGCAGGCCTGAAATTAACAGCTCTGTCAGATATATAAAGACTCTTCTTTTTAATCTTGTTAGGGTGCCTAATGCCATCATTCAGTTGCTTTCTTGCAATATATTAAAAAGAATATTTCAATAGTTAAGGTAGCAATAAAGCAAAAAACAAGTCTTTTTCACAGATATCAATATCTACAGATAAACACCAAATTGGTGACTGTATTAAAAAATAACATAGCAGAAACTGAGCAGAAGACAGAAGACATAGCAACTGAATGATATGGTAAGGTTCTAAAAATAAACTATGTAATTAATAAAAGAAGACTAAAATAAAATGTACATGCATTTATACACGTAGCAAAGACAGTTAGTTGTGATTTCTGGGCAGTTTGAGAGATAAGACCATAGACTAGACTATTTCTGTGAAAATAATCAAGTTCCATATTATGCCTCTTTGGGATTTTGGCTCACTTAATTGCTGGTTTAGCACATTGTCCTGATATCTAACTTCTCTTACGGTCAGGGTACTACACAATAATGCTGATCAGCAAATGTTTAAATTCTAAAAATAATACAAGAATCTGTTAATATTACTTTTCCAAAAATAAATACTTTCCCTGCCTTCCCCAAAAGTATAATGCTTCTTTCTAATGAAATTGTGTAGATGAAGACAAAGAACATGGACAATCCAAGCCACAGCTAGAAACAGTCTATAGCCCTATTTTCTACTCCTCCCTTGGCAAATGCAAATGTAATATTTTTTGTCACTTTGTTTACTACCTTCCTCCCTTCCTCCACCCGCTCTAGATCAAATGAATGGGTTGTATAGGTCAGTTTTTCTTTCTCTGCTTTCTCCTCCCTACTTCTGTGAGTCTTTGTATTTGCTAAGCTCTCTCTACGGCTAAGCAAGGCATTCAAGCAATGATGGGATCTCTGTCACCTGAGGATTTAGGAGCAGACTGACAAGACAAATCTCTGTAAGGAATGATTCAGAAATAATTGATCCTGTCTTGTAGCACAGAAACAGATTAAAGAATCTCTTGAAACTCCTTCCAGATCAATTTTTTCTCAATCTACTAACACTAATGAGAATTGCTCCCAAGCCCACATTGAACTACATAGAAAGTTTACCTGAAAGCCGTTCTCAGGCACTTTACATATATAGCCTAATGTAACTGAATTTTACAGGAAGTTTTGAGTGCTCAAAAAGTACAGGGCTGGGCAATAACCTGAATAACAATACATATTTTTAAAAAAAGATTATTTTTTTTATACTCAAGGCCAGATTTCCAAAAGATATCCCCGAGTAGCTGTTTCATTTGCTACCACACTTGTAGAGCATTTGGAATATTGAAATAAAAGTGACAAGTACAAACGAAAGGGAAAATATTTGCTAGGACTTCAGGTATACTTTAAGAAAGCAACAATAGGGTTTCAGGTATGTTGTGTCCCTATATTTGTGTGTACCATTGCTTGGTGATCCCCCCTTCTTTTCCTGTTAAAACATTTCATTCTTCCTATATCTGCATATTTGTTTGTAGTATTTGAGCTGAATTTTAAAGATGATTCATGCTATAAAGAGCACAAAACAACGGAAGATCTGGAAGAAGGAAAACTTAATTTTTCCTAAGGACTGGGTGTTAGTGAAACCATCTTCCAGAGCACTTATGTTATTTAAAGACAGACTGGACAGAGCACTCCAAAGTACTGTGTGTATTTACATTCCATGTTGCTAGAGGAATGAATCTGATTATTTAATAATCTTTTTCATCTCTAATTTTGACCAAAATGAATGCCTCAGCATCAGCAACACTGATTATAGGAGGTAGTAACATAAACAAGCATTTCTCCTTACATATTTTGTCTTTATGTCAGATACTAAGTACAGTATTATTGCCAAAAATGTATTTCTGAAATACTGGTTTTTCAAAAAGAGCTGAGAAAATAGTAGTTTCCTTGCATATGATGACCTCCTTCTTGCTTTCTCTTTTATTACTTTAACACATATAGAGAACTTTTCAAAATTATTAATATAATCTGTTCCTCTTTACTTTGATATATACAATATAGAAAATAAAGCTCTAAAACAGGATGCTTTTCAGTAATTCGTAATCAAATATGCAAATTCCACAGCTAAATTTGGACATGCAATTATATGACTAATCACATTGCAGAAAGCCAGAAAATTGCAATTGCATGCTTAAATAGATGGCCAGGCCCCAAACCCACATGGGTGCTCTTGTTCTCTCACTTCAGAAAAAACAGTTGCTTTGCTATTACATGGCACCCACTGAAAATTAAATGTGTACGGGTAATTTCTGTGCCAACTTAGACATGTATTTTCTCTTTTATTTTAACAGAAGTTCAGTTTTTAAAACATGTAGCGCAACAAATTTCAACCTTTCTGTCATTTTATATGTTGCTGACCCTTGACTAAATGTCTTGTTGCTGTAGACTGGCCGTGGATGGACCATACGGATCTGCAACCACAGACGTCTTCCACTACCGAGTGAGTGTGTGCATTGCAGCAGGAATCGGCGTCACGCCATTTGCCTCTATTTTAAAATCCATTTGGTACAAATGCTGCAACCCTAACACAGTACTGGTGCTGCAGAAGGTAGGTGGGAAAGTTCATCGCTCCATCAAAAAGTTCCACAAATGAGCTATTTTGCCAGGTGAGAGAGGCATTTCAGAGCTAGAGACTCATTTGAGTGCTTTAACTCACTTTCAGCAGCAGTCACTCGCTTTCCAGCTGCCTCAGAAGCTGTTGTGGGGTAGGGTCTCCCAAATTCACTGTCATTCCCTGAGGAAGAAGGTAGCCCTAGCTGCAGAGTTTTTAGTAAAAGCTGAAGAATCAGATTTTCAGTAGCAACTGGAGATAAACGTGGAATGTCTTTCATAGCTAGACAGATAGAGAGCTAGAAGAGAAATTTGTCCTCTTTCCTACCAAAAATAAATCCTGTGAGGTCATCTCAGACAGAAGTGAAGGGCAGCACTGGCTCCTTGTCCAGCTGCATGTTTCATGAGGGCCCTTTGGCTGTGTCTTCTGGTCCAGAATGCTGCATTCAGTGACCATTAGCTGCTTTTCTCACCTTGCAAAGTCAGGATATTAGCTAGCATAGAAGGAATAAAAAAAGGCATTTAAGCTCTGGATGAGATGCATATATCAAGATACATATTACTGCCTCAAACCACTTTAATTATTTTGTTGAAAAAAATATATTGGGGTCTGTAAAGCGTGGATGGCACCAATTAAGTTAACGTACTCTTGATCTGCTAACCTGTTATACATCTTCTGCCAAGGGTATGTGAAGCAGCACTGGCAGAGGATAGGTGAAGAAGAGATAATGGGTGAAGTAAGGTAAGGGGTAGAAGGTAACAGAGGCAAAAATCAGCATTAAACATTCTCTTCCCTATCGATCATGGCAAGTGGTAGCTTTTGAAACTTACAGCTTCTTTTAGCTCATTTTCCAATGTAAAAGCTGAATCAGGAACTGTTCAACATTTCACATTTAAGGACAAATGTTGAAATTGCATTGGAGTGGACAGATCTCTGAGAGGGTCAGTACATATGGAGCAGATTGCAGGACTAAGGGGCTGAACTTTTTAAATGAAAGAGTGTTAAAACTGGCATCTTAATGACAAGCTGCCACTGAAAAAGCATCTGGGATTTTAGTAACTGAGGAGTTGAGGACAGGTTCAAATTGCCAGGGGGTATCTTTGAGGCAGAAAAAGCACTGAGAAGGGAGGGAAATAAAAATGAAAATACGTGCTAGATGTGAAAAGAAGTGTATTTTCAAACACTACGATTGTACCAGAATGATCTTTTCCACTGGAAGGGGAGCTAGATATATAGATATATATAGAGAGAGACCCATTGTATATGTATATTATGTATATTCTATATGTATACAAGTAAAATTGTTATTATTGTCATTGCTGTTGTTGTCTTAAGGGGAAAAGAACAGAATTTAACTATAAATTGAGAGTATAGTATACTTCAGGGTGTTCATCCATAGCTTAGGGAGAATCTTGGGTAAGTGTGCCTGCAAAAATAAATGCATTGTGCATTCTGCCACAGTTTTCTGCTATAGAGTTCAGTTTTTCTGAATTCCTGTGAAATACAAAAGTATCATGATTTCTGTATGTCCTTTCTCTATATCTTGGCTTCCTTACTGGTGCAGTGGGAATAGTGATACTTATTTTTCACAGGTGTTATGAGGCTAAACTTCATTGGTGCTTGTAAAGTATTTTGAAAGCCTGGATGAAAGGTCCTGGGGAAGTTCACGGCATTACTTAAAAAATTTAGCAGTCATCTTAGTGAGAACGATTTATCTCAGGGTAGCTCCATATTTTTTTTCCATTGGTTAAAAGCTTCCACTTGTGGTATAATTACAAATAATTTAATCTTCCTCAAAGTATTCAGCACTCTCTTTCTGCCATGATGAGTACCATAGAAATGTCTATTAAGGAAATAAATAAGAGGTTTTTCTTTTTTTAACAACTCCGTTTTGATTTGAGTACAGCTATCATTACGCTTATTGAACTAATATTTCTTAGTGTTGCCCACATACGGTTGAGATATAAATACTCATAGCTTCCATAATGTCTGCAGCTGTATAATTTAAAAAACCCAGCAAATCAAAAAGACTACACATTTATCTAATTGATTCTTCACAATTAAATAGCCTTAGAGCCTTCATTTCCCTATCATTTTTTGCAATGAGGAAGGGCACTGCTACTAGTCACGGCTGGAAAGTTTCTGCTAGCTTTAGTTACACATAAAATGATCTTTTTTTCACATTAGTGGTCTCATTTTTCAGATCAATTGCTGCTGAAATTGATAAAATTGTACTGATCCATCAGATGCTAATATTAGCAAACATCCACTTTCTCTTTTACACTGTATAAGGACATAAGAAAGGTCCTGCTGAGTGTCACCAAAGATCCATCTAGCCCAACATCCTGTCTCCACCAGTGGCTCTTCATGAACACCTAGGGAAAAGTATACAGACCAGAAAATCATACAGTGATAAGTCTTTAGTGGACACTTTCTTGCCTTTGAGCAACTTGCAGTTCAGTAATGTCTTGATGCAAGAGCTGCATCTCTGCGTTTAATATCCCTTAGTAGATTTTTCTTCCATGAATTTCTCTAACTGCTTTTTTAATCCATGTAGACCTTTGACAACCACAGTATGTTGCGGCAGTACGTTCAGCTACATACTGTGAGGAAAACAAAACCAGCCTCTTCCATTTGCTTTGGGATCGACCGTCCCTCCCTGAGGTAATCTGCTTTGAGCTCTACCCCAGCCCACAGCCCTCTCCATAAAACATCTTCTCCCAAAGACCTAAAAACCTGGGCTCTTTTTGCTGTCAGACATAACCATTTTTCTGAGCTGTATTTGAGAACACTTTAGGCCCCTTGCCCCAAATTTAGGGGTATGAATTTGAGCCTTGTCCTGCATTTATACGAAAGGCTGCGTGCTGCCACACCAGCCGCAAGTCAGCGCCTCATGCAGGCTGCCAAAGCCCCGTCTCCTGCACGCCCCGGGCTGCAGGCACTGCTGCGCCTTACCTGTAGTGGCCCACTGGATCAATTAATTAGGCTGAGGAAGACCCCCGATCTTTTTTGGTATGCTACAGCCCACAGGTGGTGTGGTATACTCAGGAGCAGGATGGACTGGGATTTTGCAGGGAGGTGCCCGGCTGCAGATGTAAGAGGGTTTTGCAGGGACTGGTCATCTCTAAGGGGGAGCAGCGTTAGTCAGGGATGAAGGTGCCTCCCTGGGCATCTCCTGCTTCATCACCTTTTACACCCCTTTGGTGAAAAGGCGGCTTTGCCCAGAGCTGCAGCTCCACCTCTGTCTGCAGGGAGCAGGGAGAAACAGACGGATGGTCATCAACAGATAATTATTAATGACTTTCCACACAATGGAAGCTGATTTTCAAAGTATGGTCTTTCACCTTACAGGAAAGAGCTATTGGAGCTCTTGCTCTTGTCTGTTGTACAAAATTCAGGATGTGGGAAACTGAATGATAAATACGGATGCATTGCAAGGGAGCAGAGTATTACAGAAATAAGCAACTACTCAAACCCCTGCATTACAGATCTGATTAATAGCAATACTGCATCTAACTCAATTTGCAAAAAGAGCACTTGGAAAATTTAAGACAGTTTACTTGGGCAAGCCATCAAGCTGATGAATGCAGTTGATGCGGGTAGGGTGGGTGGAGACTAATGAAACATAAATCTAAAACAGATTTTTAAGGGTCCTAAATAATTGCAGTCAGTTAATAGTATGAGGCTTACAAGAAAAAAAGTAGGATTCAGAATAATTGTTTAATTATAGAAATGCATTGATGCTGGCTTTATTCTACAGTTTTAATAAGGATTAATTTTATTGTGCATTTATTGTATTTTAATTATACATGTAATATGTTGTGCTATGCTATGGGCAGTCAGTGTAAAGAAAGGAAGACTCCTTTGTAAACACCATTTATTTTAACATATTATACTAGAAGTCCTCTTCAATCTAAGGGAAATGGAGACCTTTTACCCATAGGCCATCCTTCTTCACTACCTCTTTTCTTTCTGAGCTTATAATTATGGCCAAAAATACTTCTTATAATGACAGTCTTTCTTCATTACCAAAAGCCGTCCACCTCTAACATGTGAAAAATAGAGGCAGTGCAATGGATACCACTTCAGCAGAACCGCACCAGGGGTGAGTTTAAGGCATTTCTGCAGCTTCAGAAAGTTACATCCTTTCTTGAGAGGACTGTGCCAGAGGCGGCTTGGCCCAATTCAGTTGGACTGGCTGTTACTGTAACAGCTAGGTCTGCAACCAGCTAAAAGCACACCTTCAAGCTCCATAGCCTGATATTCTGGAAACCAGTCCCTCATTTCGAAGACCACATCATCTCAACTAATGAGATAATTGGCTAGCTTTTCTTCCTCCTTCCCTGAATGTGCTTGGCTCCCAGTCCTGCCCACATGCTCTCAGTTGCTACCCCATGCACAATTCATTATTCATGTAGAAGCACATGCCTCCCCTCCACACACATGTACCAAATATACATTTCCATAAAATGAACTGCTGAAAAGACTTGAGAGATAAGATGATCAAGTAGAGGCTGGGGGAAGAAATTTCTCACTACAAATCAAGAGCCACGGTGTGATACAGACTGACAGCACTCAGTGGCCCGATTTTTGAGGTGCTGAGGATGCAGAACAAGTGGGGACTTCAAGATTCAGACACAAAAAACTACATAAAGGTTAAGGCTATAGATCTTATCCAGTTTCGGTAATTTAAAATAATGCTGCTGTTGGTCACAAAAATGAAATGCTATAAAGTCAGTGGGCTTGCTTTTTCCTCATAGTCTATGCCAGTGTAAATCAGCAGCAACCCCCCTGTAAAGCAGTGAGGTGATATTTAAGGTAAAGCATTGGAACAGAAGGGGAAAAAGCAAACAGTCAAGATGGTTGGTACTAAAGTTCTGCAGACAGTCCTATTCCTGAGCTGTAAAAATACCCTACTTAACCCTGAATGCTTTATCTCTGTTTCCTGGGATCATACTTCATTTATATTTCTTACAGAAACCACAGATGGTCCCTTACAGTACACTTAGATCTAGGAAACATCTCAAATTATTGTTAGTCTCTTTCACCAAATCTCCAGTGAAGCATGGTGTTACCACATTTTTCTCCCACCACCTTACCAAAGTCTGACAACCTAGTATATTAAATCTTCGGGAAATCTCTTTACAGCTTTCTGGTTTCTTCTCTGATTTTTCTCTTCAGAAGTGTCTAATATGCATCTTGATCTCATTGATCCTATGGAAAAGGGCTACAATTTCCAAATCATCAGAGCTCCCACAATGATTGCCTTGGGGACCGACCTTCCAGATTACCTTTGATATTGAGGTACAATAAAAGACAGAGGGGCTGGTGAGCACAAAGAAAGATGGGTTGGAGGAAAGCAAGGGATTCTGCAACAGAATAAAAATCACAGTCACAATTAAACAAGTTCCAACCGTCCCTTTGTTATAAGCTTATACATTGTCCTCCATGCTGTTCCTTTTTCATCTGAAATTGTGTGGTTTTAGGCTTCCTCCATGTTTGTGAATTATTTCTTTGGAGGCATTATAAAAATAATTACACTCAAAATTACATTGCCCACAGAGGCTCATTCAAGGTCTGGCACCCTCTGTTCAAAAGTAATGATGGATTGTGTGGCAAGAGCTGCAGAATTCGAGTTTTAAGAATTGCAGTCAGATTTGTCTTAGAATTGTGGTTCAGCCGGGCATCAGGGTAGTGCCTGGGCAGCCACCCAGGGAACTTCAGACATTTGTCCCCTGGGTGGTGCGGGAACTCCCAGTACAGTCACCTACACAGCTCTACCGGCTTGAGACGAGGGACTGAGCTGAAAGCAGGGGATGGGCTGTACTCCCGATCCCCTTCACAGCACAGAATTGGTGGAGGAGATTTCCACGTGGGAAATTCTGACTGTCCTGAAGACTCCCAAAGGTAGCTCCTGCTCCTGCTCCTGCTCCTGCTGGCCTAGGACAGCTGTATGTCTCAGTGTGTTGATTAAGATCCTGAGAAGGGATCCTCACCAGTCCCGAGACTGTTCCTGCAGGCAGTTCCTGCTGCAAAATTGATTAACTTGTACACAGATAAGACATTTGCAAATGGTCAGCAGAAACTGTTCTTGCAGAAGTGGTCACACAGGACAGTCTTTTATACGTAGTTAATTAGTTAGAACATGCTTTGTATGTAGTTAAGACAATAAATCACAATAGATCGTGCACATGCTGGAGTGGTCACAACGGTCCTTGGGCCAGCTGCCTGTAAGAACCCAGCAGAAAAAGGGTTTTGGGGAGTCTCACCTGATCCAGCTGAAGATGTCACCACAAGGACTCCCGAAATAGAAACTCTCATCATCATATGGACAGTGACTAACCATTTTGTTTGAAAGATTTTATTCCCTATGCAAGCATTACCCTATGCCAAGATCCTAATAAATTAGCTTCTTTTTTTTTAAAACAAACGCTCTGCTCTGTTTCTGATTGACTGCAGTAGAGGAGGAAGAGACAGAAATAAGCCATAGGAATGATTAAAGGATGGAAAATTAGACTCTCAGTGACAGATCCCAGGAAGGTTTGGTTTACCACAGAGAGGATTATAGGTTGACTTGATCCCAGCCACTAATTTCTACCAGGGGAACAAAACTTTAATAATAGGCTCTCCAATCCAATAGACAACTAAAACAAGATCCAGCATATGGAAGATGAAGCTAGAGAAATCTGGATGAGAAAAACTGTAAATTTTTCATAGAAAGGAGGTTTTCAACCAATAGAAAACCAATCATGGGACAGTGGTTCGTTTTACCCCTTTGGCAACTTTAAAATTATATGCTCCAATTTAAACAAGAAATACATTAAGAAATAAGTAGAGGCATTCTGTAGCCTGTTTTACACAGGGTATCCAACTTGAAGAACGTAACTGTGTCTTATGACCACATCAACTGTTAACCTATGGCATAAGGTCTTGAGAAACGGGAATTTCTTGCTTCAGTGCTGAATGAAACTGAAATTCCATTTTAAACATAACTGAACATAAATCCAAAATTTCAAAGAATAATCAAGTTATTTGCAAGAAATGCAGGGTGAGGTATTATAAATTGAGATGCACTGGCAGGGGGAGATGAGAAACTTGTACATCTTCACTAACCTATCTTCCCTAGCACATTAATATATTCACTCAATGTTTAAGATGAAAATAAATTTTTTAAAAGATAGAAACTACATCATCAAAATGATGTGTAATTATGTTTAAATTTACAGTGGAGAAGAGTCATACACTATGTAGCTAATGAGTTGAGCCAATCATTAGGAAGTTTTATTGAAAGTTTTCTTCTTGTTAAATCTCTTTACTTTTATCTGACAGGTTTATTTTTACTGGATTTGTCGAAACCCATCAGCATTTGAGTGGTTTGCTGATCTTCTGTTCCATTTGGAAACAAAAATGGCTGAAAAAGGGAAAAATGATTTTCTAAGTTATCATATATTTCTTACTGGCTGGGATGAAAGTCAGGTAATAATGAAACTGTTACGAGTCTGAGTTAATGTACCTTACTTTTCCAGTATGGTAACATATGGAACAGGAACAGCTGAATAAATGATGGATGAAGCAGAGACACAAAGAACTGTAAATATAAAGACACCAAGCCGTCTGTTTCCATCTCATATTTAGGAAAACAGGAATGGAGAAATCAAGCCAGTGATCCTTCCAGTCCTATATCTTGTCATGGGTAGCGCTGATTACCAGGTGTCTTGTAGAAAAGTGCAGAGAGCCTTTCAGGGGCTTGTGAAGGAACATTTTGTCCACATATTTGGAATGGTCTTTAAATAGATTCTGGCATTTTTGTACAGAAACATGGAGGGTTGTATAAAAAGTGTTGTTTTTGTTTAATCTTATTATTTACTATAATTTCTGTTGTTCACATATATGTCCAGAGCACTTTTGAAACCTGCTGCGCTCAGAACATTTTGGCAACAAACTCTATAATTCATGTTGTTTGAAAAGACATTTTCTCTGATTGACTTTAAATTTGCCATCTCATAATTTCATTGGACCATCCCCCCTCGAGGCACTTAATCCTTAAACTGGGTTGATTTTATTCAACTTCTTTAGTCTTTACCTAGACCCAAATGAGTTTATTTTTTTTCTCTCTCTTTTTTTAATGGATCACTCAGATCACACTGTGATCAGAGTTAGGCACCTGCCAGAAAAACTCTCACAGGAAATTCTTTGCTCTACTGTTTTATTTCCTGCTGTCTCTGTTGAATGAAGGACTGCCTAGTAGAGATTAAAAAAATAGATTTCAGAGAGCTTTTCCCCTCCTGCCTCTGCTGCCACAAAACCCCATTGTTTCTTTCTGCTTTCCTTAGGGTTTCTGTCAAGTAATGAGGTATGTGCATAAAGCTGTATTCAGAAAAATCTGCTCCCATCGTGAAGTATATGGCAGTTAGAGAAACTAACACTGCATTAGCAATATCACAGGGTATTACCTAAAACCTGCTTTGAAAGAAGCTATTGAGGAACCTAACAAAACACAAAGTTGCCCTCGTCTCTCAACTGTCATCATCCCACTTCCCTCCTGGGCAAATATCAGGCCAGAAATCAGGTAGGGAGACAACTATTCTTGCTGGGATGTCGGACTCTCTTCACTTGTGTGCCCTGCACTTTTCTGAAGTGCCTCCTTCTTCTCTTCAAACTCCATCGTCTAGTCTTCTGTCAGCACTGACTCGTTATCCTGTGCTGCTGGTTAGGTGACACCGGAGCATCCCTGAAGCTGTGCTGCCTCCCCTCCTACACTGGTACTGCTCTTGCTCCTGGACAACCCCCCCAGCATCCTACCTCCAAAGGGCTGTGGGGGAAGAGGAATGCTTTTCAGTGGCTGCTTCTTCTACTCTAACCAAGCCCAGGGAACTGTCCTGGGTAACAGCTCCACCTTCTACAGACATCCACAGAGCTCCCTCATCTTATAGGTCTTACTTATCATTAGTAAATTCCAGTTCATCACTCCTCAAAATTTGAGCTTCAGCACCAGTAATATTTGGATGATGCTTTACTTTACTTCTCCCTCAGCAAACAATGAAACCAACATTCTCCCCATTCTATCCCTGTCTCACCATTAGTCAGGTGAAACTGAACCCAAGTAGGATGGGCAATTTATACCTTCTAGTGCACCCTCCACCTAGTGCAGGTGTTTACTCCTCAGACATAATATTTGTTCAATGCTTCATGCTCTTTGTAGATTCCATGTTGGCAACAGATGGTCAAACAGATATGGCACATGTCTGCCTCTGCTTGGACAAGGAATCATGTTTCAGCCTATTGCTCCTTGCAATGCCCCTGAGATTCCTAGGCAACTTTAATGCTGTGAGCCATAGAAAGGGCTAACACCAAAATTCCTGGAAAAGTTCCACTTAATGAGAGCAGAAATATACCATCTGTTCAGTGGCACAATTTTGCTGTAAACAATTAAAAAATCCTGCAGTTCCCCACCTCCCACTCCCACCAAAAACTTTAAGTTCTTTCTTAGAGTATTCCAAGTCCTCCATGACATTGGCCCAAACTAACAAGAAGAACCTTTTAGAAACATGACCTCTTGTGACAACTGTGCTTGACCAGAATTATTGAGTTGTTAAGCAACATGGAAGACTCATTAGCACGAGAAATATACAATATTCCCAGGAAATGGATCTAAATTTCAGCAACCACTTCTACAAGAGATGATAATGATGCCTAGTTCATGCTAGGGCCTGAACTAAATGCAAACTCCATTTTTTAACTTAGCTTTCCTCTGGTAATTTCTTGACAGTAATAGTAACAATGATAGTCTGTAGTGAAAACAAGCGTATTACTCCTACACAACAGCAGCAGAATTAGTAGAGATGATGGTTTTGTTTTTAAATGCATCTAGGAAGTACTCAGCATGGTAATGTGTGGAGCTGAGAGACTGTAAATGCCCATGAAAATCAGGATTTGTTTTCTTGGCACTGGGAGCTGTGCAGCTCGCTTAGTTCAGTGCTTCACCTGAGCTGATCCACTTTCTGCACCTGCCTCTACCTGAGGAGAAGAGTCAAAACACTCTGGGTTTTACACCTGCCGAGCTGGTACATCTGCTGTCTCTTCCATCAGCAGCAGAATGCTCTGGACTTACTTAAGGTGCACATAATTGCTAGTATTTATTGTCAAACTCTGTTATGGTACACTTTACTCCTTTTCCTAAACTCCAACTCAACCTTAAAATGGTGACTGTCACTTCAGGATACGCAACGAAGGAAGTGCAGGGTGAGACATTCAAAGGCTGAGAAGAAGTTTAGGAATCTAAGACCTGCTTGTAAAAGTGACTGAGGCACTTAGGCCCAGGCCAGTAAAGACAGATATTTAATCCCAACTCGTTTCAAACATTCCATCTCAAGAAACTGAACTCCTTTGAGGTCTTGGGCACTTTTGGAAGTACTTTTTACAATTCTAGTAATATTGTGAACTCTTGAGTACTCCTCTCTCCTCTCCTCCTCCCATTTGATAATTACACAGTTTCCTTTCCCTCATTAATACTTCCATCTTTCACAGCAAAGCAGTGTTATTGCTTTCTCCTCTTACTTGCGGTATATGTTGTTGACTCTAAAATTATTACCTTGTAAATTTGCCTTTAGGCTACTCACATAGCCCTACATTATGATGACAAGATGGATGTAATTACTGGTTTGAGACAGAAGACCTGCTATGGAAGGCCAAACTGGGACAATGAGTTCAAGCAACTAGCCGAAAACCATCCTAGGTAAGGCAGGTTAGCTTCTAACCTTGTTAGGTAACTCTTCTCTCAGCATAAACAGTGGGAGAAGGGGAGGACAAACCTCTCTAAATGACCCTTTTAAAATAATTTAGGGGGTTTTTGCTGTGTGGAAAGAAGATTTATGCTTAATGAAGCTTTTAATGAAGAAATCTCGGAAAGAGAATGCCAATAAAATCTAATTTTTGGACAAGAAAATCTAATATTTAGAAGTATTTCAATATCCTGGCCTTTGTCCAGATATAATTGAAACACACAATCCAATTACTGTTCTGCACAAAGGACAAAGTAGCATTAATTTCCCTTGAAGATGGTTATTAAAGAGATAAACTGTGATTTTTTTCTTATGATGTCAAGGATATGTTTGTTCCCCTAACATATTTGGCTACTCTTGCAAGACTATGCTGTTCTGTTATTAGTTCGTCTCTGCTGGCAAAGACAGTTCATTTGAACTTGGTGGATTCGCTAGTGGTCTGAGAAAAGCTTCTTTGTTCCTGAAAGCCTTTGAAGCAAGAATTTGAAATATTTTGTGTTCAGAAGTAGAAAATTCCAGAATCTTTGTGACTCTCTATGGTTTCCAAACATTTACCTGCTAATGCAAAATAAAGGCTTGCACTTGGGAGACAGAGATACAAAATGAAAAAGAAGAAAACTTTTTTTTTAAAGATGAAAAAGTCACAAGAAAAAGCTGAAAGGGAGGAGATCAAAGAGAATACAGTAAGCTACAAGGATACCATAAAATTGCAAAAATAACAGTAATAGAGAAACCACTTGATGGAGGTCAAAATAAATACAATCAGGAAATATGAAAGATTAAAAATAGAAAAAGGCCAAGAGTAGAAAATACTATTTTTGAAAGACCTTTTATAGGGGTTCTACTGCATAAATAGAGCTTTTAAAGTTATAGTTGAAACATTACTTTTTATTACTTTTGTTAAGTACAACTGAGAAAAATCTGGTTTTCTGATGCTCAGGGAGTGAGATGGACATTAACTTTCTACACTGGATCTTGTGGTAGTTCCTTAGAAATCCAGTGCTAAAGTGACAGAAAAGTCTGCATTTGCTTCTGAATCTAAATGCCCATGTTCATGGTCAATGATGAACCTTTTAAAGAAAACCTCACATGAAAAAAGGATTCCTTATGAGAAAAAAAATACCCTACCTTTTTTTGCCCTGAGTTACAGAAGGTTCAAGAGGCAAAGAAACTCAAGAGTTTCTATTGTGTGGTGGAACAACCAGCTTTTACAAATTGATTAAATTTTGGGTCCCTGCACCTAGGTCCATGGAGTTTCCCTTGGCTGCAACAGTGTCTTGTGGCAGATCAGCAGGAATATACCACTCCAGGTTAAACCTAGTGCAATCGAGCACCAGAACAATACGCGCACTACTTCTGGGGACTATGGCTTGGGCACCAAAATCAGAAGTTTAGTGAAAAACAAAAGTTTACAGGAGCAAACTTTTTGAAACTCATGCTTTCACTTGTCACTTGCACTGTGTTTACATTGATTGAGCTTCCGCAGTAGCACAGTATGTGTGTGTATCTGTGTGTACATATATATGTTTTAAAGCTATATGTGCTGTGTACTTAGAAGCAAGCCCTTTAAGGCACTTTGCAGCAAGTAACCAGGTTTCCAGCTCCCTGTAACAGACTTGTGCAGTTATGAACACAATTGTTTGTTACATTGGCCATGTTCTTATTTTATAAGAACTACCTATTTACAAATTTTGTTATTAAATCAGCCATTTAAAAATGGCCCATAGGCAGAAAAGTGTTAAAATGAGGAAAAGAATTTAAAAAAGAAGAAAACTCAGAAGTAACTGAGAATTTTGTGTATTTTTTAGAAAAAAAAAATTAACTCAGCTGGAGAAAAAGCACTGAAAATTTTCAGCCCAAGCAGTGTGTTTGCTTCTCTGATTAAAAAAACCTATAAAGATTAAAACCAAAGAACTACCATTTAAGTTTGTGACGTCTAATATAGCAATTCAAATAAATAATGCAGTAAGACATAATAAACACTAAAGTATTAAAATAATTATACTGTAATAATTTGTGACAGTAACACAATTTTTTTCAAATGCATTTCTCAAAAAGCCATTTCAAAAGATGCAAAGCCTGAGGCAGTCAAAAGGTACAGTTTATTTACTCTGCTACTCTCATGTTTTTGTTGTTATTGCGATTACAGCAACAGTATTGGAGTATTCTTCTGTGGACCCAAGACTCTCTCTAAGACCCTTCAAAAGACATGCAACTCATATTCATCAGTTGATCCAAGAGGAGTTCAGTTTCACTATAACAAAGAAAGTTTCTAGGCTGTACTTCTTAACTATATAATAGGTATTACCAAATTGTGTGGTTTTTCCTTACCTTCTCCTGTCCTCTACTCATTCTGCAGCATTCAGGCCAGATATTAGGAGTTGTAAATTGAAGTAGGTGCATTGACTTCAGCAGAAAAATGCCATCCTATGTCAACTAAACAATTGGACCCCATCCTTAGCCTTTCCTTCAGAGAACTGAAGGGCCAATTCTCCATTGCTTACTTAACGATGCTGTGAATCCATCTACATCTGTGTGAAAACCAGCACAAACCACTAACCTTTGAAGAAAAGGGCGTGAGTAAAATGGACATTTAGAACTGTACCTCACTATTGTGTATGATCAAACTACTACCACAGGCAATACTCACATTCCTGCTGTTTAAATCATGCCCAGACATTCAAAGCATTTTCCTTCCTGGTGTTCCGATTTTGCACTTCTTATAACCTCCCACTACGCAAACATCCACATCCACATCACCTTTTGTGCTGTAGCAATACTCTTTATATACACACTGTCCAACAAACTCCTGTTGCCCTACCAAACTATGCACCATTTAAACCTGCCATTTCTGCAGCGATGGTGGCTGTGCATGCCGTAAGCTAATATGTTCTGAGGGTTGATATGTTAAGGAGAGTCCAGAAATTTTTGCACTCAGCAAATGGATCTCCTGAGACAGGCAACTGAAGCTGTGGAAAAAAGTTTCAGGTGCCTTTTAAATGTCACTCGGCTTCATGGGCACTGAAGAGTGGGCTTTAAAAGATACAGAATCACACATATATAACAGAGTTACTGAGTTGGGAAGGCACCCCTAGGGATCATCTACTCCAAACCCCTTGCTCAGAGATTCTGTGAAGACAGGAGCGACATTTGCGTTCCTCCAGTCCTCAGGAACCTCCTCCCATGACCATGACTATTCAAAGATTATGACGAATGGCCAGCTCCCTCAGCACTTGTGGGTGCATCCCATCAGTTCCCATGGACATGTTTAAAAGCTCCCTAATTTGATCCTCCTTCACTGAGGGTAAGTCTGAATTGCTTCAGATTTTCCCACTTGCCTCAGAAGCCTGGGATCTCTGAAGGTCAGCCTTACCTGTAAAATTGAGGTAAAAAAGGCATTGAGTACCTTTATCTTCTCCATGCCCTTGGGCACCAGGTTCCCCACCCCATTCAGCAGTGGACCAATATTTTCCTAGTCTTCCTTTTGCTGTTCATGGATGCATAGCAGCTCTTCTTGCTCTTCACTTCTCTCACCAGATTCAACTCCCAATGGGCTTTGGCTTCCCTAACCTCACCCCTGCACACTCAGTGTCTCTATATTCCTCCTGCATCACCTGCCCCTTCTTCCACCTATTGTATGCCTCCTTTTGTCCTTGAGTTTTGTTAGGAGGGATTTGTTCATCCATGCAGGCCTCCTACCACCTTTGCTTGACTTAACTCCACAGCAAGAGGGATCATTTTTGAACTTGGAGGAGGCGATTCTTAAAAATCATCCAGTTCTCCTGGACTCCTCTTCTCTCTAGGCCCATATTGCATGGGATCCTTCCAAGCATGGAATTCCTCCTGTGTCCTCCCCATGTCACGTGTGTTAGTGTACAGGCTATTCAGAGACATCCAGTCACATGGGTTTTCCAGAGGAGGCGTTGGAGCTGTCCTGTAGACACTCACTTCTTTGTGTGGATACCCTTGGGGTGGGTCCCCTTCTGCCCTGTTTTGTTGACTGCGACATCTCTCCTGTTCACATCATCCCGCGTACTTTGCTTGTCGCCACAGTCCACCACTTCCTCAGTTGATTGTTGGTCATCCACTCCCTCCCCATCATTCCTAATTTAAAGCTCACATCACAGGCTGGCCAGCCTTTGCCCCACTGCAGTGGACCCCATCTCTTCCTAAACAGTCCTTGATCCTCAGAGCAGGTCTCATGGTTGTAAAAGCCAGATCCCTGTAGTCTACACCAGCTGCGCAACCACTTGTTGACTTGCAGGGTCCATGCCCACCGAGTTCCCCATCATACTGAAAAGCCTTTTGTTTGGTTGGTTGTTCAATAACCTCTGCCAATGCAGGAGGAATTGTGTTTGCCTACCATTTTGTCATATGCCAAGCTGTCAGTCTCGAGAATGATGTATATGGGTGTAAAATGCACCCATACATATATTGCTGCTTAGCATTTTTAACAAAGCCTAATTCATATCGGCATTTCTTGTTTTTAAATCTGCCTTGTAACTGATCCAGCCTTTCCTCATAGGTCACAGACTATGTTACTAAGACTAGTTATCTGTTCTCTGTTATACGCACATAGCACTGAGAGGTAGGTACAAAACAGTAAGTCATCTTTTCACCTCTGCAAACCTTGTCAGGCAGCTGCTGGGAGCCCTGAAATAGAACTGAGGCCAGCTGCAGAGCTGCTGGAAATGCTGTTGTCTGACAACTGTGTTTCAAACAACCCATCCAGGGCCCATGGAGTGTTCCCTGGAGCCACATCTTCTAACATGCGGGGACTAACGTAAAGCTATGCGTGCCATCTGTACAACCACTGATGCTTTCTCCAAGAGAGGACCGTCTCCAGCTGGTTAGGTCAGCCAGCCTTGCAGCACTTTATACAGCAAAGCAATGAAACAATGGCCTTCATGCAACCTGAATCTTTACTCATCTTCTCGTAGCTCTCATTGGCACTAGGGCTGCCATGGATATAGGTCCTACTCCCTAAAGCAGTCCTTCCCTCACAGCTTTGTATTGGTCATCTTTGGCGTCTGAGTGTGTCATTGCCACCTTCCTAGACCTGATGTTGTCTTCCACCTTCAAGAATTATTTGTACTTAGCTTTGTGACTTTAGCACGGTTAAGCACATGGAGCACGGGACAATTCCAGAATGAGGGAGAAACAAAATAAAAAATATGGGAATGTTGTAACATTCACATAAGCTAGAAAAGTGAGAAAAATATTTCCTTATTCCCCAGCACAGAAAGTTGAACTACATTCGAGTTGGACTGAGGCATAACAGAGTTCACTAGGATCACATAACGCATTTACCCAGCCACACAATAAAGATGGGAGGTAGAAAACATCCTATGTATGTCAGCACTCAAATAAGACAAATGGCAACATTATATATGTATACTTATACACACGCAAAAATGCCCACTAGAGGGGACATAACTGTATAGACAAAAGAAACAGAATAATAAAAATTATGTCACAGAAGACTCCCATATTATTTTATACCTCTTCTATTAGGGGATACAGTATGTGTGAACTGAGATTGTTCTACAAGATACAGCTGTATTATTATTAAGTTTAGGGCAATGCATCTTTGTTTTAAAATTGTTGAAGTTTTTTTAAACGCCTGCCTATGTGAAATGATTAATGCGGTGCATACTGTGTAGCAGTAGTGAGTGGAGAATTAGAGCCTCTGCCAGTTCACCTAGAGGCATTTATCTTTTATTTTTTTCCCTGGTGCCCGTGCTGAGCCTCGGGGTAAGCTGACACATTTTTTAATATAAATTAAGCTTCTTTTTTTAATGTGTGTTGAAAATCTTGAAGGAAATGAGAAATGTGTGTAGGCACCAATACCAGCTGCCATTGCATGAAAGAAAGAGGTGACAATTTCCTGCAGACTCTGAATGATTGTTTTAATGGGGTTGGATCGGAGGTAACAAGCACAAAGATATTGTGCTGCCAGAAAAACAGGATCTGTTCTCCCCCTAGCCTCATGCAACAAGATGTAACATTTAGCTTCTGGCTCAACATGGCATCTCTTCACTGCTTTGATTTATTCCCACTTTTGCAAATCACTGTGGTATGCTACAGGAGATGCATTTAGAGCCCTTGTTATAGTTCATTGAGTAGCACTGCTGTTATCACCACCAGAGGAGAATTTCACTTGTATCAGGACTGAGTGACCTAGAATAAAGGAAAAATAATAATAATAAAAAAAAAAGAAGTGGGGAGGTTTGTCGGACTAGGATGAAACTGCATTTAGGTTGAATGAAAATCCCTTTATTACAAATACAATTTAAATCAAAATAGGAACTAGAAAGATTTGGCTTCTTGCCTTGTTTTGAATACCACTGAGCATGCAGCAGCTATGGTAATGTGAGTGCATATGTAATGACTCTATTATTATGTTTATATATGGAAACATCATTCACTGTCAGGGAAAATGAAAGATATCTTCATGGATTTGTCCATTCAGCTTCTTCAGCAGGAAGTGTTCAGCACTGTGTAGGAAAATATTATTAAATAAAATATAGTCATAACAGCACACACTCACCACATCCTGTGACAGAAAACTAATCATAGACAAGGATTGTAAATATACAGATTAATTACTTTGGCTCTTACAATAAAAAGAGTGGTATTATTATGATTGAAGTTGTGTTATGATAATTTAAGTTTAATCACTAGTAATGTAAATTGAAATACATGGGTTTATATGTTCTGGGTTCCCCCCCTCTCCCCCTCCTCCCAAGTTATGCATGTTGTAGAAATTATTTAAGCAAGTTTGCTCCTTAGTTTACACTGAAAGATTAAATAGAAACTGCCACTCTTAACAGAAGGTCCATCATACAGTGCCTGTACCATATCACCATTATAAGCACTTGCCTGCTTCTTTCCTGCTTTTAGATATAATTAAATGGTTAAGAGGAAATACTGTTAACTGCAAAAAAGTGACAAACTTTTCCTAGTTTTGAGTACTTCTGATTAGCAGGAGATTTTATAAGAACTGCCTTAAAGGCAGCTCAGCTGCTCAGAAAAGTAGTAAACTAAATGACATGGTAGTTTTATAATCTCAACTAGTCAACAATTTCAGTGATTTTTTTTTTTTTTTTTTTTTGAGGGAAAATCACCTGAATTTCTTCAGGAACAGAGAAAAGGAAAAGAAAAACGTGACAGTGCTTCCACGCAGCTTGCCCTATGAATACCAAAAGCTTAAATGAAACATGCACACTCAGTCAAGTAATTAGGAATGCAAACCTGTGACGGTCAAAGCAGCATA